GGTAGACAGTTAGACATTCTAGCAGTAAATCAAAATTCATGCAAAAAGCATACAATTAATCATGGTATGTAGAAATCCAATTTTCACTCATTCTCAATTCAATGGCCTTCAGGGTAATGTGTTAGCAAAGCTATAAAAATATTTACCAAATCAAGGGAAATAAACACATTTTAAATTGCTGCTACAAAGTTGTTTTTCCAACAAGAAAGGCAGCCTAACTGCTTGTATCTAGAGACTGACAATCACTATGTGACCATTACTTGGAATTTATCCCAAACCTTTCTTCAGTCTAAGGTTTCATCAAATCTAAGACAGATTGTCGATGCTCATGTTTGTTTCAATTCTAATTCAATTACAAGGTTGATACTACTCAATATTTCCAGGTACATTTTGAAACATAATGGAATATAAGAGGACTTGATTAATTCTTTTAAGAATTTTGAAAACCTTAAATTTTAAATGAGTTTTTTGTACCTCACTTCTGGACCCTTCAGTTGAAAAGGAATGACAAATAAACAAGATTGTAAGGGGATCTGACAAAGTGGACACAGAGAAGGTTGCTTGACCTGATTGTGTTCTGATGTTTTACATTTCCCAATCTTAATCATTTAGGCCAGGAAATGAAGAGAAATGTCTTTGCTCAAAATGTTGAGAGTCTGAGGAATTCCCTATTTTAGAAGTTTAACTGTACTCAATAATGGAGCACCGTAAAGTAGAGTTGGAGAATTTTATTTTGATCTTTAGGGAATCAAGGGAAGTGGATGAATTAATGCAGGCAGTAGATCAGCTTTGTTCAACCTTCTTAATGAAAGGCAGAGCAGGTTCAATGGACCATTGGTCTGCTGCAGTTTGTATTTCCTATTGTCTTATGTAATACCTTTTCAGTTTCATCTGCAGAATGAGTGCTAATCCAGAAGTACATTTCTGTGCACACATAACTGACTTACTCGAGGAATTGGCTGGGTGAATGATCATGCTTCTGCTTCACATCCAGATCTGGATTTGCTGCTGTCCTTGGTTTGAAGGTTCCTTTTTTGTCCAGTAGGAAGAGGTTTGGGGACCTTAAATCCTATTGAGCACATCACTCAGACTCTTCCAACAACTGGTGCCATCACAGAAAGCATTCCTTTTTAGGCTACTTCAGAACAATTTAAATTGGAATGCTGGGGCCTGTGGTCCTGTGACATTCATTCATGTCACATAGGCAGGAAATATCAATATAATGGGGCCTCACCCATTTCTTTCTCTTTGTTTTACCTAATTTCCCAGATGCACGGGGAACAATCTATTCAACTGCTTCGATATGCAGTAAATAGCCAAGACGTTGATAAGGCCACACTTGGAATACATATAATTTTAGACACCCTGCTATAGGAAAGATGTTATTCATCTGAAAAGGATGCAAAAATGATTTACAAGGATGTTACCGCTACTGGATGGTTTGAGTTACAATGAGAGACTGGATAGGCTAGGACTTTTTCCCCTAGAGCATATGATGTTGAAAGATGATCTTATAGAGGTCAATAAAATCAAAAATCATGCGGGATTGATAAGGTGAATAGAGAAGGTCTTTTCCCCAGAGTAGGGAAGTCTAAAACTATAGGCCGTGGGTTTAGGATGAGAGGGGAAAGGTTTGAAAGGGACCGAAGGGGCAACATTTTCAAACAGAGGATGATGCTTGCATGGAACAAACTGCCAGAGGATGTGGTAGAGGTGGGTACAATTACAACATTTAAAAGACATTTGGACAGGTACACAGATAGGAAAGGCTTAGAGGGATATGGGCCGAACGCAGGCAAATGGGACTAGTTGAGTTTAGGAAAATGGCACGGACGAGTTGATGTGGCAAGTTAGGAAGGAAATTGCGGGTTCCCTAGCAGAAATACTTGTATCATCTATAAACATGGGTGAAGTACTGGAGGACTGGGGGGGTTGGCTAATGTTGTGCCATTGTTTAAGAAAGGCTGCAAGGAGAGGCCTGGAAACCATAGTGAGTCTGACAGTGATGGGTAAGTTGTTGGAAGTGATTCTGAAAGATAGGATTTAAATACATTTGGAGCGGCCAGGATTGATTAGTCATAGTCAGCGTGGTTTTGTGCGAGGAAAATAGTGTCTGACAAACTTAATTGAGTTTTTTAATGAAGTAACCAAAAACACTGATAAGGGCAGAGTGGTAGACATTGTTCACTTTGACAAGATTCCGCATGGTAGACTAATTAGTAAAGTTAGATCACATAAGATTCAGGGTGATCTTGCCAATTGGATACATAATTGGCTTTGTGGTAGGAGACGGAGGGTGGCGCTGGAAGGTTGTGTTTCAGACTGGAGGACTATGATCAGCGGTGTTTCACAAGGATTGATACTGGGTCCACTTTTGTTTGTCATTTATGTAAATGATTTGGATGAGAATATAGGAGGCATGGTTCGTAATTTTGCAGGTGACGCCAAAATTGGTCATATAGTGGACAGTGAAGAAGGTTACCCAAGACTACAAAGAGATCTTGATCAATTGGGTCAATGGGCTGAGGAATGGCAGATGGAGTTTAATTTGGAAAAATGGGAGGTATTGCATTTTGGTAAAACAAACAAAGGACAGGACTTACACAATTAATGGTAGGGCCCTGAGTGTGGCTGTAGAACAGAGAGACCTAGGGGTTCAGGTACATAGTTCTTTGAAATTTGTGCCACAGGTAGACAGAGTGGCTAAGGTGTTTAGCAGGCTTGCCTTCATTGTTCAAACTTTTTGAATATAGGAGTTTGGATGTCAAATTGAGGTTGTACAGGACATTGGTGAGGCCTCTTCTGGAGTACTGTGTGCACCTCTGGTCGCTCTGTTATTGGAAGGATATTATTAAACTGGAGAGGGTTCAGAGAAGATTTACTAGGACGTTTCAGAGAATGGAGGGTTTGAGCTGTATAATTGTCTGGATAGGCTAGGACCTTTTTCACTGGATCATAGGAGATTGACAGAATACCTTATTGAGGTTTATATTATCATGAGGGACATAGATACGGTGAATGACAAGGATTTCTTCCCCAGCATAGGGGAATCCAAAACTAGGGAGCATATTTTGAAGGTGAAAGGTGAAAGATTTAAAAATGACATGAAGGGCAACTTTTTTTTATACAGAGAGTGGTTCGTGGGTGGAATGAACTGCCTGAGAAAGTGATGGATGCAGGTACAGTTGCAATGTTTAAAAGGCATTTGGATAAGTTCATGAATAGGAAGGGTTTGGTGGGATATAGGCCAAGTGCAGGCAGGTGGGACTAGATTAGTTTGGGAACATGGTCAGCATGGACTGGTTGGTCCGAAGGGTCTGTTTCCATGCTGTATGACTCTATAATTGACCAATGCAAATTTCTTATTGCTACTGGGGAATAAAATAATATTAAACTACATTTTCATTTCCTTTTTTACTGTTGCATTCGACTGTTAGAAATAAGAGTAACATTCACTGTTCCATCTGATCTCGTAATTGCCACATGAATGTAGCAGCAACCAGTTCAAAATAACTAGCATTCAATTAACTTGCTCCTTATTGAGAAAGTTAATCCTGTGCTCAATTTAAAAAATTACATATTGTGACATTTAAAGAGTACACTATTCCCTCGGAAAGTTGGCAATAATTGTTGTGCATCTTTATTTTCCATTTTAGATTTTTATATGTACAGAAGCCTTGCCACATTGGAATTTACCATAACATTCATAAAGCTGAAGCTTGGTATCTTATAAGTTGCTAAAACCTACCATTACAAATACTAGGACAATAGTTTATACATATCTTAAATCTTTTCTGGTCATACTTATCTGGTATCAGAGAGATTGAGCTATTTGTTTATAACTAAGAAACTGGGACGGGAATAAAAACAGACAAACTTGAGAAGATGTAATTTTCAACTCACATCCAATTGCTCAATTTAAGTGCACACCCGTAATACTTGGAATGGCTAAAACGCGTCACAGACTTTGCAGACTCATGAGAGACCTGCAGCACTTTTGAGTTGAAGAACACAAAACAAACCAGCAGTAGTGCCATACAAAATGTTTGAATCAAATTCACTTATTACGAAATGTGGCAACGTTTCCAGCTGACAGTCAAAACAGCTGGATGTTGAGCCAGACATGATGGTTAATGTTTGCTATTTGCAACTACACCCATGTTTTGCAAAAACCACGCACTAAACTAAATGAATTATGCAAGCAGCGCATTAACCTATGAAAAAAAGCAATGAGTTCTCCACACCAGATTCGTTCTACTGAGAAAATAATGTTTCAGCTAGTCTCCTGCAAGTGTTCTCACACGGAGGGCTATAGCCTAGAAATTACTTTGTACACCAAAACATTTGAATATGCTCATATTACAATTTTCTGATCACTGCTTTAATTAAGGTATTAATTTGTTTAAGAAGGGTCCTGTCACATTCTTAAATTAACAGACAGTATTAAGTGTCTTCATTAACATTGTCAAATCTAAGCTTATACCACTAAATACTAAAGCAGCAATACCATATCATAAATTAATATGCTTTAAAGCAAATTACTACTCCAACAAAGCTCACTTATCTGTAGGTGCTGTATTCATTTGCCTGTGCAGGTGAGCTACAGAGGTCTGATGTGTTTCTCAGACCTGATCTACATTTGTGCTCGTCCAGTCCTAATGTGGAAGTGCTGGTGTTGAACTGGGGTGGGCAAAGTCAGAACATGTTGGACTATAACTTGTTGCCGTGTGACTTCTGACCTAGTCCAGTTCTAATGCAAGCTAGCAGCTCAATCATTTTTTTAAACATCATATTTACAGCATTGAAATAGGCCCTTTGGTCTAATAGATCTCTGCTGGTGTTTATGGTCTACATGAGCTTGCTTTCATCTTTCTCCTCATGTACTCAACAATTAGAAAGTTGTTACTTTTATGCTGAGGGGCTCAGAAAGTGAAGCATCTTGGTGTGTTTGTGTTGTAGGACTTCAATAGGACGTAAGCCAGTGGAAATGTTGCACTTACCCGTATTGACTTTTCTTCCCCAGGAGACAGCTACACCATTTGGAGTCACAGTGTCACTAAGATTTAAAAAATAAAAAAATGATTAGAAAAGAACAAAAATTAAAAAGAATTCCCCAAGACAGTTCAGCCATCAGTCAAAGCATTCATTATAACTAATTTTGACATTTTTTGTAAGATATTAAACATGAAGAAATTAAATTGCAGTTCATTGTTTGCCATATGACAACAAGCAGTCAAATTAAAAATGCAGATGGCATATTACCTCTGGATATCATTACCCTGGGTGACACTAAAGTGCTGGACATAAAACTTAAATGTACTCCAAATCAGGGCTTTGAATATATCCTGTGAAATCTTACTCAGTTAGTGCTTTACTAAGCTTACAAAATACCCCAGTACTAAAATAATTTATTACTTACACAAAGTCATGTTCACTCTAACCTCTAACACCATATCTCAATAACTGCCCAGTTGAATCTCAGCTTCAATCTATCCAGTACAAGTAATATTTATGATACTGAAGCTGTTAATTACAAGAAAGGTTACTACGACCTACAACCATTGGCATGGCACTTTCAAAAACAAATGTGTAGTGTGCCAGTTATGTTCAGACTTTACAAGATTTACAGTAATCGAAGGAATTATAACAGATAATACTAGCTTACGTATTAGCAGGCTCTAGGACTAACTTGACAGTGAAAATACCAACTTGCATTTAGTGTCTTTTGCTTAGTAAAAGATCACAAGAATTATGACAAACCGTTAAAGGGAATCAACAGCCACAACTTACTTTGGTTTACATTATTGCAGCAAGTTCAACCTAATCCATTGGATAATTATGTCTACTTGCAGTGCCACATCTTGTTCAAACCAAACTCAAAATTAATTTGTGGAATAATATTGAAAGTATTTCATTACTGGCTACAATAGTAAGTATGGAAGAATAAAAATGTTACTGCGACATTTCTGGTAAAGCGAGGCAAAAAAAAAGAAACATTGCATATGCGATTAATAAAGTACTTCGAATGTTTAAGTCTGATCAACAGAAGGCTGACTAACGTAAATCAGTCTCTTATGAATAGCAGTGAAACAAAACACTAACAGTGGACTGATTAGCAGAGCCAACAGTCTAAACACACTTACCTAAAGAAGCCCTGGATAATTTTTAAACACGATACAAGAAGTGCAACAGAAACAGCATTCTGCACAAAGCACAGGCTGTTGTAAAAACAAAGTAAAGAGCGTCCTTTTTCCTGTGGGCTGTTGTCCAGGTTCTCATAGCAAGCCTCTCGGCTGGGCTAGCCGATAGCAAGAAAATTACTTCTGCAGAAATCACTAGTAATGAGGTAATTTAAAAGGAAAAGTTGGGTCCCCTATCAAACAACTTTTCCTTGCCAATGCACTTCTGTTTGGGATCTAACCAAGCGTTACTTATTTGCAGGCTACTGGTTAATGGGTCACTTGAGAATTCTAGCACTACAGAAATAGGTTCCACAACACACTTATGCAGCTCCTTCCAGACACATAAGTTTAACCATGTTTGCTATCCTATAGTTACCAAGGTGACCCAGTGCTCGAGGTTCTGCTAGGCTGTAATTACCACAAAACAGTTGAGCAGGTTCAAGTTGTTCACCTGACCTTACTTTTACTCCTAGCTATTACACTTGTTTTTGCAATAGTTGCTTAAGCCTTGGTGGGATCAGCTGCATGTTGATGCAGACTACCCAGTCTCAAAGACGATGATAGAACTTCGGCTTCATCCTAATCATAGATCATCATCATAGAATCCCTACAGTATGGAAGCAGGCCATTCAGCCCATCGAGTCTACACTGACCTTCTGAACAGCATCCCACCAGACCCCCACCATATCCCATCCCTGTAACCTTGCACTTCCCATGGCTAACCCACCTAGCCTGCGCATCCCTGGACTGTGGGAGGAAACCGGAGCAGCGAGAAGTAACCCATGCAGATGTAATTTTCACTCTATACCGAATGTACTTTCAAAAGAGAGGTTCGACAATCTACTGGAATTAATGTCATTACCCGATCCTACCTGGTGTTATTTTTGGGCATAATTTAAGACAAGATGCAAATGTCAAATGATTCTTAAACCGAGGTGGATTTGACATTTCTTTTTGCAATTATTTGTGTGCAACAGTCAGATTTCAAAATGATAAAAACACTTTGTCTAAAGGAAATCTCCATTCCCATGTACGGTTTTGGGCAAACCAGTCGATGAGGAAACTGCCCTCTTATACTTCTTTCTCTCACCTCTGAATCACAAGCTTATGAATTCAGGTTCTACTCCAAGATTTGTACACAAAAGTCAAGGCTGACACTCCAGTCACACTGTCGTAGGTGGTGCTTTTCAGGTAAGATGTTCAATCTGGCTGCCTGCTCATGTTGATGAAAAAGAGTTGCCAAGACACCATTTCAAAGAGGAGCGGCAGAGGGCGCACACACACACAGGAGCCTGGTTGCCGCATCTCCTGCGCTACGACAGTGACCACATTCGGAAAGTACTCACTTGGCTGTGTGATCCTGTGATGGCTGACAAAAGCACTATATTTTGGACTAAAAAGTCAGAACAGATAGACTGAAAGTTCTCTCTCTTTCCAACTCTTTTATGCAGCAGGAAATCCAACTAGAAATAATTTTCCCCGTGCGTACAAGTGGAAAGCTGGATTGACCGTGCACATTAACACTTCTTCAGAACTGTAGCAACCACACATGAAATTGAATGGTTTCTGCCAGATCGTGGATAGGACACTGCAATTGGTCTCAGTGTCCCTATGCTGGGGAAGGTTGTGTGCTGGGGGTGGGGCTGAACAAGTTAAAAGTTTTCCAGATCAGGGCTTTGAATAAATCCTGTGAGACCTCAGTTAAAACACTTTACTAAACTTGCAAAGTACCCCAATACTAATATAATTTATTACATACACAAAGTCATACTCACTCTAACTTCTAATTCCACCTGTCAATAAATGACCTGTTGGATCTCTGCTTCGGTTTATCATAGAATCCACGCAGTGTGGAAACCGGCCACTCAGCCATTTGTCCAAACCACCCCTCCGAGGACCGTCCCACCCCGACCCATCCCCCTACCCTATCCCTGTAATCCTGCATTTCCCATGGCTAATCTATTTAGCTTGCGCATCTTTGGACTGTGGGAGGAAACCAGAGTGCCCAGAGGAAACCCACGCAGACACGGGGACAACAGCAAACTCCACACAGACAGACAGACAGTCACCCAAGGCTGGAATGAACTCGGGTCCCTGGCACTGTGACGCAGCATGACTAACCACTGAGCCACTGTGCCACCAGGATACTCAGTAAAAACAAAAAGGATATTGACGATACATAAGCTACTAATTACGTGAATTGTTACTCCAACTTTCATTCATTGGTGTGGCACTCACAAAAACAATGTGTAGTGTGCCAATTAATTTTAGGATTTAGTAATCTAAGGAATTAAAACTGGTAATATTAGTTTAAGTAACAATGGCTCTGACTAACTCTATAATGAGAACATCAATTCGCATTTTTAGAGTGTCTTTTGCATCGTAAAACATCACAAGATACTTCAGAGGACATGACAAGATATTAGAGGGGTTCACCAGCTACAACTTTACACGCCAAGGGACTCACGCTGAGGTACTCATGTGTAGTAAGTAATTGTGTTCTGTGAAAGTTATAGAGGGCCAACTAGCCACCCCTGCATTGCAGTCAAAAAACTCTCTTGCTTGGAGTCCTTGAAGCCAGCTAGCCAGTCAAACGAAACTAGGACGAAAGCATTTTAAATGACTGCAAAGCCAAGGATTTCAACATCAACTGTTTAACCAGCAACGTTCCGTTATCTACTCTTCAAGAATAACCCAGAGACTGCCTCATATTTTTGGAATCGCTCCTTATTTCTAACCTGTGTGGATGTGTTGCATCATTATTTCCTCTCACGTTTAGTAACTTATAAACTCACTCTAAAATATACCCACAACTGAAAACAGGTCTTCCACACCCGCCCTACCAAATTCATTCAGAATTTTAAAAGGCCTCTCTCAGGTATCCTCTTACTCTTATATCAAGAGAAGAGAGCCCAGTCTGCCGAAGCTTTGCCGAAAGTTGCTTCCTCCCAATATTGGCAATTTTCCACACTTTCTCTCAGCTTCTGTTGTACAATTTTTCCGGGGCTTTGGACACTCCTTTGCAAAAGCTGGAGTGGGCTCAAGAGGAGCCAAGCAGAAATACTTGCCACTCAGCCTCTTCGTTCAGACTGTTCAGGAATTAGTTAATGGCTTGGGACCAAATATGAGAAGTCATTGCTTAGATCATTTTTAAGAGTGTTCCTATAAACACTCACCAGACTCCTTATAACAAATTTACCTTCACTGCTCTATTGAAGGGAAACTGGATTTGCCTAAAACTCAGTCCATTACCTATTGTCCTCAACTCAAATTGAAAGGAATAGTTAAACACCAACTGCAAACAACTAATCTGGATTTTAAATACAGTAATACACAAAAAAAAACTGAAGCTGATTACTTAGAGGTAGCTAAAAATGTGAATAATCCGATTGAGGTGTACAAAATTATGAAGAGCTTCAATATGATAAATAGAAATAAACGTTTCCCCTTACTAGAGGGATCAATAGAAGATTTAAGGCAGGCATTTTAGAAGGGATTTAAGGAAGAATTTTTCTCACCCAGAGACTGGATGAGTATATAGAACTTACTGCCTGAAAGGAGGGCAGAGGCAGGGAACCCTTAAGATGTTTAAGAAAAATTTAGATGAGCTCTTGAAATGTCACAACATAAAAGACTACGGGCCAAGTGCTGGGAAATGTGATCAGAATGGTTGGGTATTTGACGACCGGTGCAGACATAATGGTCCAAAGGCTGGAATACTCTATGACTAAATACTTTTCAACTGAAACTCACCATCTTTTACACAAAATGAATAGATACAGTAACTATTACGCAAGGCAGATGTGTCAAGCTTTTACAAGGACCTCTGCAAAGATGATGACGACTCTCCATTATTCTGTATTTGAATGAAGAG